GTATATTAAGAGGAAATTAAAATGTACATCCACTCTGATTCACCGATCATTGAGTTGGCAAGTCCATAGCTGACAGCTTTTCTGGTTGAATGCTATCGGTAACATAAGCGAGAGATACAAAAATCACTTACACAATCACACTAAAGTGACAAAAATTTCAGTGATGAAAACAATCAAAGTTGTCAGTATATTGTATCATGAAGAATCCCTAATGGGAATAAAATTACAACACACATCCCCACCTTGCTTTCTAGGGAACACTTGGTACAGGGATATTGAGACTCATTGAAAAGTGAACTTTGAATGAAATGAGTTCGATTATTGCAGATAGTGTCAAATTTGTAGACTTTTCCTGCTGAGAATTTAGCACTATTTGAGTGATTATTGCAACTTTACAGGTGCGAAAATTTATATTCTTCTGAATCATTCATTGTCTAAGGTCACTAAGGTCAAATAACCATAGTAGAGTTGTTTTGTTCAGAATGTCATCAGGATGATCTTGATAGCCATTTACTTTCACAGATACTTTGTAATTCGTATATTTAAATTTACCAGTAGACACACTCACATGTGACATTTGATGACCACCCTCTATTCACTTATTCAAAAGGCAGAAATTATGAACCTACTGAATTGGGAGTTGGTGACTGTATTTTAACATTGCACATTCGACCAGTTAATCTCATTTCATCCATCGTATCGTGAGTGGTAATAGTAACTGGAACATTAGGAATGCGAAATCAGTATACCTCTTGATCTGTATAGTCTTATGAGATACTCATCGATGGTCGTCAGCGATGTGTTGGGCATTGTTCATGTTTCGAGGTGTATATTTTGTCGAAGGAATGATAGAGGGAAATTTACCTACGCTGAGTAGTCTTTCATAAATTCTTAGCCACACTTCATCCACGATATTCAATATATCTCCAATATTGAAACAATCGAGATAAAAGCACATCAATGTAAGCGCAATCCTTCCGCTTTTGAACATATAATGCAAACATAAAGGCTGTTTGTGATACCGTGACACTTCTGATCTTAAACGTAAATGAGATTCTCTTCCCTAACTGTAACTATCCCTGATCTTCTTCTGCTTGCTTGATGAGTCTCTATGTGCACAACGTTTCGAAATTCTCACTTACAAAAGTCGCCCGAGTAGAAGCAAAATCTACCAGCAATAATCCGCTGCCTCATAGGCGCTGTCTGTTAACTCTTCATTGATTTTCGACTGTTGTGAGAACCATGTTGGATCAGTTCTGCAGAAATTGTTGGCACAGTGGTTAGGACTCTCGCCGACCATGTACATGGTCCGGGGTTCGATCCCCTGCCGACGCACACCCGATATTAATGGTCGGCCTGCAAAATTTGGGCTACCGATATCCATGCTGAAAATTCCATACTTGTACTGAAAATACGGTGTGGAATCAAGCTGTAACCAAAAATAGAATAAATATTCTTTAGTTAAAATATGATAAAACGGAATATTGTGAGTTTGTTTTTCGAAATACTGTCGAAAATTTAAAGGACTCTCGGGCCAATGTGGAATGTGAAGTTTGCAAATGTTACAAAAATAAGTAAATTGAATCACAGATTATACGTTTCGTATGCATCTGAATGTACTTCACTACTGCACTGAAATCATGATTACAGACGTGATTCGGATGAATAAATTGTTTCTAAAACATCATCTTGCAAGTAATGCTGATTCACTGTGATGTATGCAACACGAACTAACTGTGGAAAATACTTCCGTGCACGAAATGAGTTGTTGAGTATGCAAGCTAATCTGTCTGATGATAAGTTGCAACCCGCCATACTTACCTATACGCATATAACTTTAAATACGCATTGTTTAGAATCAGAACCTATGATTGAGATCTGCTGGAGGAGATGAACATATACGTTGCGTCATTTGTCACATTTCTGTTTGAAATTAAGCTGTTTAGCATTACGATGAAAGTTTCAAATGCTGCGTCTTTGTGAGAGATTTAGAAGCTGAGGTATTCAAACTGTTTGTTGCCAATAACAGTAGTTATCATTTTTTTATTATTGCATCCACGTGAGGAAATGTTTATGCAGTGGTCACATAACAATGGACAATTTGAAAAAGCTATAAACCTCCTCTTTATGTGAAATATGCAAGGCTATTCCACTGCCTGTTAATCACGGTCTTAAGAGGTTCGATACAAAAATGGTCAACAATCTTTGCTTATTTATGCTTCAGTTTTTATTTATTCAGTTTCAAAGTAATGCACAACAGTGACGACAGAAAATATCTATGAGGAAAACGTTTCGTCAAATATTTCAAATGGATCACCTGCCACCTGTTGTGTACACTTTGGTTTATTCACTACAAAATCGAAGCTGTTGCAGGATATTTTGCTGCAAGCGCCAGACTAAAGGTGCTAGAATAATTTCCTTGAAGTTTCTTTTGGGCAAGCTGTATCCTGAGTTGACTGCAAATTCTCCGATTCTTCCCTGAACTTTGGAAAATTGGTTGTACACGGGGAGGTTTCTGCTTGATCTACGTCATCTTTTACAAATGAAGTGAAGGTGGTCATACTAATCTATTTTTACAAGCTATTCAAAGATTTCCGACAGATTCACTGACCAAATATCCGTGTTCAATTCAGTAGGTAATGATTATTTTATTCAGCTATAAGCATAAACAGTTTCTGTTTAGCACACATTGCACTGTACGTATTCATATGTCTTTTCATAAATTTTGTCTTAATATGACAGCAAAATGTGTCATATGAAAGATGACCACTCACCAACATACCATGCGGTTTTGAATATGCCAAGAAGTGCAGTTTGTGCAGAATAAGATGGTGCCATCATTGTTTGTGTCGTCGGCTTCTCATCAGCTGCCTATTGGCAATAGTAATTCTTAAGTTTATAAAAAGAACAATTGAGACACGCAAATGTTAGGTGATTTCAGCTGACAAGAGACTCCAAGAGACGTCAAGTCAATCTGATAAAGGCGTTTTGAACACAGTGCATCAAAATCGTCCCCCTCAGCTTCAAGTCTACTCCATCTACGTCTTTCAACGGTACAGATCCACCAATGGGGTGACATCAGTTAGAGAAGCATTGAAAAGCATCAAGGAGTACTGGAGAGTCGTTCGCTCCTTGTTTGCGATCCAAACGGAAGACGAATTTTCCGTTAACGTGGTGAGCTCGTTATCCACTCGGTCAATTAGTTCGAACTCAGGTTGTTGCCTAGTACCGCAGAGTCTCAGACGAGGAGGAGGCAGTCACCTGGTATTGCCTGCTGATTTCCAATAGTTCTCTAACGCACACTAGGTGGTGAGAGGACCTGTAACCAACCGAACCCCGCTAAACTAACACCCAATAACACATTTTCTCAGAAAACAATTCAAAGTGAATGAAACTGCCACACACACTCTCATTTATTTGTATCAAAATTCAGTTAAAAAAGCAGAGAGAAAAGTATTTTCGCCAACATTTCTGTGGAAAAGACATTGACTGAGTTAAGAGTTAAATAATCGCGAACACATGTTGAACAGGACTTTAATATATTGTATATATGTTCGTCCAGTGTGCTGATCCATTGCTGGTAGACCATGTTTATCTGAAAAATTACAACGATCGCACATCAATTAGATGAATTAACACACATAAGCTCCCTAATCGTAGCAACGAATGAATACGAGGATCAACATTGACTGACTGACCAACTGACTAACTGACTAACCATCTAATTCAACCGTGGTATTCATGCCATCCAATCCCCAAGATGTTGTCGTGATGCTGAATGAAGACATACCTCTGTCGCTTGAATGATTTCACTTGCAATCAGTGCGAAACTCGACAACATTGCTTCCCGTGAACGGTGAGTGTCCGATGGCCATGATTTTCCCTTTCTATAAATGCACAACAACTCAACGGAGTATGAATTAAGAGTTACGAGTTTCATACGACTTCCTCAATGCCACATTTGCATCATTACTTCAACTGGACCGCATCAGCCAGCCGTAGGTTGTTCTTCATCTATGTGAGAGGTAATCTCACTCATCTGACCACCTCCATGTGCATCTATCACAGTTCACCTAATCTTATTCAGCAAAGAATACAGTGCTCTCGAAGAGAATGCCTTCCACACGGAGAGCAGAGTGGAGCAGTGCAGCATAACTTTACAATGGGGAAAGGAAGTGTTTGCGAGGCTCATTATTCTAGAACACTTGATCGAATTCTGACACTCTTTGAACTTCTATCGTGATTTTAAAATCATCCACAGTATTCAAGCTAAATGCCTCCATTCATGAGTTGAAGCCAGACTTTGTGGTATCAAAAAGAAGTCTGTTCATTCTTTGTTTTCACCTTGAGTGTAGAGAGATGAAAATCTGTTTTCATTTTCGGTGGTGATGTCTACTTAGTAGGATACCTATATACCTAGCTAGCTTGTTGGAGAGCGCACGCTACAGTTTACTGAATGACGTGGACGCTTGACTGAGTTCTTCCGGTCGAACCAATCGACTTCAACAGTGATCCCTGTCAGATAACGTTGAATGATGTAGACTGTAGGCTTGAATTGTATGTCAAAATGTTTTCAACAGACGAATGAATTTCTTGGTATGTAGAAACAATGTCTGTGTACAGATAGATACAACTGCCATTCTCATGTCATTCAGGATGTCAATGTATTGCGGGAGTTGATAAGGTAAACATGGTGAGGGAGTTGGTCAGACGGCAGCCACACGGTGCAACCAAACATGTGTGTTATTCAGAAAACACTCAAGATCAAGTTGAAGTTTAGACTCTATTTCATTCAAAACGTTGTTGAGTAAATGATAACTGAAACACTTCATTGTCTTTCCGAAACATATTCGCTCAGTGCATTCACTGCACCTTCATGCAGAATATTTTACTCTGTTATCAGGTGATTGATATGCAGCAGACGTCATTAAATGTTCATTAATCAATTGCGTGATGGATAAATAAATGAATGAATGAATACATTTCACCATGAAGAAAAATTACATAGAAGGAACGTACTTTTTTGGTGTGTAAACCTCCTTAGTCACTGAGTTTATTAAGGCTTTGACTCTTTCCTCTGGACAAAGTACTAAATAGTACAAAACTGTTACGATTTCAGACTGACTTACATTTTAAATAATGAAGTCGCTTATCCTCCAACTCGACTGCTGTTTTGACAAGTGCATCTGGTAGGAGATGAAAACAAATTTCTGTGAATTGGAATGTAGTATGAAAGACAGTGAGATACAAAATTCACAGAATGTTTGACGCTGAGACTGCAGTGAGACATGGTGTTTCATATGATGGCTAGCCATCACCAGCTCAGCTTATAACTAATTTGAAGTAATACGAAGGCAAGCCAATTCCTACATTTAGTCTCGAATACTCACAAGCACCTAAATTACATACAAATATCCAAAGTTTCAATCAGATTTACATCAAATCACCTCAAACATGTCGAAATTTCAAACATACACATCAAAATCTACCATAAATTAACTGCCTGTGGCTCGCGTAACACAGTCAATTACTGCACGACATTTCAATGTGGATCCAAGTATACACTCATCACAGGAAATAGGTGATTGTGGGTGTCAACTTCTTTTGCATTTCGTCACCAGTTTACTACTTGGTGTGGACACACCGTAGATGGATTTATTGGGAAAGTAACAGAAATATGCAGATACTTATATATCGAACATTAAATAATAAGTGAAATGAAAATAAGTTACTTATTCCTCTGTGGTACTCCGCTTTGGCGAATTCGATATCCTCTACTAAGTAATCGTATACTGAAAAATTGAAAGAGAAGAGGGTCATTGAATTGGGCTCTGTAAATGATGTGGTGAAAACAGGCGAGTCTTTGCAGTGACATCGATCAGATCAGAGGACACAATTATACTGAACACATGCACTTGAGCCAGCAACACTCGCAATGAATTTACATTGTCACAAATCAATTGCAGTGATTGCATGTACAACTAAGAGATATTACGATACATCCAACGAAATCCAATGAATTATTCCCTATTCTGGGAGATTCAGTGTACCAATGCACATTGCTTATCCAAATGATATCAATGCGTGATGAAAAGTGAAACTAATCGAGTCTCTACGAAGTAACTCATGGAAACTAATCTGACGCCAACCAGTAACTGGCTCTATACAGTATGAAGGGACGTGTAGTTCTAGTCAGAGGTTTTGACCACTGGGATCCACCAACATCGGGTGTAGGGATAAATACACGCCAACGACATTCGTTGGTGGTAAGGCTACAATCACGAGTTATTAGAATCGTGAGTTCATAGAGTGGTCGCTGGACCGGGTACCAGTCATTGAATGATCTGCCACCACGAGTTGTAACCAGTAGTTCTTGGATTCAAATCCCGGTCAGTGAGTGCCTGTTCAATTACTGCTCATCAAAACCATTCGATGAGCCTGAATGGAGATTCAAAGATAAGACGAAACAGATGTGCATTACTTTCTGGTCTTCAATGCTCACGAAATAGACACTACTACACCAGAAGATGGGGAAATTGTTAGCGGAATATTTTATCATGAAAAAACACCTGATATTTGAACATTGTTAGCAACATTAAATCTCGGCTAGCTCATCGGGGGAGAACATGCTTCTGACTGGTTGGCGATTGACCCTAGGCTAAATAAGTCTCGCAATGAGGTTATTTCATGTCTCCAAAGTGACGGAAATCCAGATTTGAGGAATAAACACTTCTATCTCTGCTGCAGCCATTCAATCGACATGTCGATTCCAGTGTTGGCCACTTCCTGTCAATCTGCCTTACGTCACCTCATCATTCCATGACCAGACTTGAAACTTGCAAACCAAATCATAGGGAATGCATACTGCACGCGTCAAGTGATAAGACCGTTCCGAGAGTGATAAATGAACTATTGCGATAAACAGTTGATAGGACATGCAAAATATTATCATGCTATCATTCTTCTGCTGTCGAATGATGTGCGAGTTGTAATGTCTCGCAATCTGAAGTATGTATCTGATGACACCGACGATGTCGTCGATTATCTGTGGTCCATGGAATCTATCATCGAGGGTTGTTCATTGTGGTCGAATGCTCACTAATTATGACAATCCTTCAAACAGGTTGAAGTGAACATCACGAATCAAAACATTGTTTTCACACATACTCATTATATGCCGCTTACTTTTCATATTCTTATTCAACATGAAATGCTTCATTGCTTTAAATAGTAAATGAAGCCTGTCTTCGGCAGCACCTGAAAAAGTACACAGTAAATCGTGATCATTGAATCTTATAGTTCAGTAGAAGTGAGCGAAGATTAAAATATATTTTGAACAGAAAATTGGTGGTCTGTTCCTGATTCGCCTCAGCCATTCTCGATGTTTTTCAAACCTCCGAGGATTAGTCCACACACTCTCAAATTCCAATGAAGCTTATCGGATCATGGTCAGATGATTGGAGGTAATCGGCAGGAAGCCGTGGACACATGTTTTGTAATTTCTAAACTCACTTCATTGTGTGTGGTCGATCAAGTAACGTGCTTGCTAAGAATGCAAGTAACCACTGTACAGCATCATCGGGTGACAAGTATTCCTTGTGATCATCGCTTCTGTTGCTGGATAGGATGCCTCTGTTAATTCAACCATCAATTTGAGGAATTTTATATGATGAAAGCACGAAATCTGAGTACAGAGCATCTTCCCGATTACCCGCAATCACTTAACATTCACCCAGTGTGCTTCATGCTGGCGAGCCGCCCAGCATGTAGCGCGGACACATTTCGAATATTGACTGATGAGAAAATTCAGTCTGCACCAACCTGAGGACTAGACACATCACATAAATAGATAAGTGCAACTGCAAACTTACGTTTCAGTAGTTCAATTTTTTTTCTCACCGATTCCATCATATACTTTTTCTCTAATCTATTGACTTTAGGAAGAGAAAAACGCCAGCGTTATTGATCAGATAACTTAATGAGTGCTGGCCAGCCAACTAAACAGGTTTGCAAAGAACAGTACAAGCTGGAGATGTGCTGATGAAGCCCTATCTTCCACTCAGAATCCATTAGAACAGTTATAATAATAATGATAGCAATCAAAATGGGCTATTGGGCTGCACTTCTTTATCAGAATACACTGGATATTTACATAATTTCGGATTCATGTCGTGTCTTTCACTCATGTTCAGTGCTTGTTGCAGTTGAGGTGAATCCAAAATATGCAAATTATGCAAATAATGTGGCATAACACTTGTCAACTGATGTAAATCATAATCATCCGCATGTTTGCAAAACTTTGATGAGTGGTGTCACTTTTACCTGCCTCGACTTTATTGAAGAACAAGGTTTCCCACACATCAAGGGAAGAAGTGACATATTATGTAGGTTCGCATGCATTCTGTCAATCAGTGTATTGAATGGTGGAATATACTTTTGACGTACCCAGTATCGTGTGGACACCTCAATTCATAGAAACATAGATTCAATGCATCAGCTTGCCATTAATTAATTATTTCGCATGAAAAAATGTTACAAATAGTGAAAATTGAACTTCGAACACTCACCTTCCTTCTTCACACACGCAACCGATGATCTAGACAGCTGAGCGTCTACATGGAATTTAAGAGAATATTCGAAATTCACTTAACGTGCTAGGGACTGTTCAATTTTAGAACAGTTGAAATATGTTCTCACATTCAAGACTGAATAGTCACCGTCAGACATTTACCAGTCTGATACATCCAATTAAAATGAAGCGATGCATTTTTCCGTCTGCATCTCACTCACACTTATTCTCAATACAAATCAGTCTGTGATTCAAGGCAAAGATGGTTTCTCAAAGCCTGTCATAAAAGCTCATGAAGAAATCCACATGCGATATGCTTCTCAGACACGGAGTTGGAGGGTTATGTGGAGGCGCAACAATTAATGACCCACTGACTGACTGACACAAAAAAGTTGACATTATTTAATTTCTGCAATCATTCGCCTTGTTAGCCTGAAATTAGTCGTATGTGTGAGGATCACCATGATGCCGTTCACACCGAGTTTCATTCAACACCTGACCGTTCTATCAATTTTCAGTAGTGAGAAATTCTCACTGATACATACTTACTAAAGAAAAATGTATCGACTGCTTTACTCTTTTACCTTCAGCAGCATCCAATCTTGCTCTGGCTTTCCATTTATTTTCAACTGTCTCAATAAGGATTTCACTATCTACAAGAAATAGAAAAGGAAAATGTGTATGCATCGACACGTGTTTGTTTCCTGGAAAACTGCTAATGAAAGCGACTTGTTGTGAAAATGCATTTCAAATAGTCTAACGTTTATGTGTTGTAATGAAATCCAGCATGCGCATTTCATCCTATTAGAGACTGGTCATCTGGATGTACTTGCCTTCTCCAGTGAGTGATTGTGTTTCTCCCTTCCATACGCACAAACACACCAAGATTCTAACTCAGTGCTCCTCGTTTCAAAGGCCAGGGAGGTTTCCACTGGAGAACACGATTCCATTTCAATGGCCAGTCACTATCCGCCATGTAATCAAACCAGGTAGAATGGCTGTTCACTTGAAATTCATCAATGGACACCTAGATAATTTAGCTTATTCGAAGAAATACTAACGATTAGCTCGATTTCATTATTCATCCAGCTCCATGATACTCTGAACAAATCAGATTTGTGGGCATTAGCGAAGATCCGTCCACATGATGACTGTCTGACAAATAGTGTCTGACCACTTTCACTGGACAATTTATCTTCTGTTCTGCTGCAAACTCAATTCTATCAGTCAGTTTGCAATGTGGCCATCATGCTAGATGGCTGAACATCACGGTGTGGATTGCCACCAAATATCCCACAGTAACTTGATCGCATTTCAAACAATGAAACTTCACTCTTCATCCATTTCATGCATAGAAACAATGAGTGTGTTTGTGTATTCAATATGATTAAGCACACAAATATACGAGATAACTACCAGTGGATTCGGTATCTTCTAATGAAGATATATTTCCACGTCAGCGGTCACGCCCTGTATAAACGCTTTGTGCGCAAATCACATCCATGCCAGTGTTATTAGTATGTCACTCGCATGTGTCATGTTTGCATTGACTGTGATAAGAAAGAATTACAGTAAATGAAAACTCGGTAATTACCTTCTTTGCGCAGACTAGTAGATTTATTCAGGCGTTTCCCCTCTTCGTACTCATCTACAAGCATTAAAATTGTGCAGTCACGTAGGAAGATACATGCTGACATAATTAATGGCAGATAAGCGATGATGTTCACTTCATGATAAAATCCTGACAATGTTCCTACTACTCAACAATAACACTATTTGTGAACTTTACTTCAAATGAGATTCTCATCTAGGTGTTTACTGAGTGGATCTACTGGTTTTCCCTGAAAGGTAGATGGATGCTTAATAGGGGAGAAGAATTTGAAGATGCGTCTCTGCATTTGAGTGTTCGTCTCTATTAGTGACATTGTAAGCGGAAGTGCGATTCACTATGCTCCGTCAGAGGAGAGGTCTCAGACGATCAACCAGTGGACTGTTGCGAAGAATGAGAAGAAGAAGGAGACGGAAACCTCGTTTGTGTAAACCACATGTTAAACTATCTCAGTATACACAAGTAACAAATAACTCACTTGCATATCGTCTCTTAGTGTTTTCGTCAGTCACTTCGTTCGCCTGGAATACAGGTGAAGCTGCAAACAATGTTGCAAATTATCATGAATCTCATGTATGTGAATGAGGAATCAATTGTAGTGTCTGATTCTTACAAACATAGATGTGATGAGTGATCGGCATCCCATGAATGTGTGTGTAAAAGTGCATTTCACCTTTCGGACAATGTTCTTGCTGACTCCGATCGATATTATACCAGTAGAGTTTTGACTGACACTGAAGGCATCATCGCTAGTGCTGTTTAGTGGACGAACACAATGACATCATCATTTTTATGTATGCTCACTGAGTGAAATACGATTGTGCAGCGATCACCTGAATGATTTTTACAGACATCAGTGAACCAGTGAGAATGATGACAATGTGAAATGCAGCATAACGCAACGTAATTTGCCAGTAATGCATGTTTCTATTAAGTTCCGAGGATGTGGCTAACCATTGGCTGCAGTCAACTCTTACCAATAAAATCTCGATTTAAATCTCTTTCCATTTATTAAAGGCTAGTCAGCATTTTCGGATAATTAGCCACCATAGAATGGTGTGACACACGGTGCTGTATCTGCTAACAGCTTCTAATACACTGACCAATTAAATAACTCACTAAGTATATAACCAAGTATCCGACTAACCTTGAAATATGTAACTAAGTAACCTTGAAATAATCAGGCAGGTAACTCACTAACCTCGAACTAACTAACTAAGTAACTAAGTAAGTAACTTACTAACTAATTAACTGACTGACTAGATGATTTTGACCATATGATACAGTCGAAAAAGTTTAGATTCACATCGCAACACCCCTCCTCAATCAACCAATTAAGTGGCAAACAAATTGATGCAATAATTTCACTCACATATTAGTTCATTAATCCATTTCAGTCGGTATAAATTATCCAGTCTTTGGCTTTCTAGATTAACAAAACATTTGTGTAGAAAATAACAAGTGAGAGATGCAATTACTGGATTCAACTTAGACACTCGATAAATCACATTTGAAAGATGTGAACTCCTCCTCTCTGTAATTGTGTTTCATCTTACAACACATATGAATGATCAAAGAGAAATGGAATACTCATCAACAAGGCGAGAAAGACACAAGCACACACACACACAACGTGGACGCTACAAACACTATGATCTATATCGAAAGAGGGCACATACTTTTCTCAAGGCGGTGGGAAGCAAATGATGGGAACTAGGTGTAACATATGTCGGAATGATGTAAGTTATTCAGTTATTAAGAGCTAGAATGACTGTGTATTCGTCAGGTAATTGGACTAATGCACTGGGGAACAGAGTTCAAGATTGTTTGGTAGAAAGAAAGTTCAACCGGAAAGCGCATAACACCATGATAGATTACAAAACCACAGAAAGTTTATTTTTCTATAACAGTGCAACAAAGGTGCTAGAGTGAATAACATTAAGATGAAATAATTAAGTATTTCCAAACAGGACAGAAGATGACGCGAAGCAGCTAAAATTAAAAGGCTCACTGTCAGGCAATAAACGGGCCGATTGCGTGTCATCTGTCCAACACCGCTCAAATTGTCGAGAATCCAAAGTCAGTCAAAATAATCAACAAGCAAAAGAAACCTAAACTGCTACATTTTGCTGAGACAGTCACCATGAAATGATTAGAATCAAATCGATGCATGGAGAAAGAAGGAGAGTGGAGAGACTTACACTGCCTTGATGGTGTGGCATAGTACGCAGCTTCATTATGACATCTTCTATCCTGCACAGAGAAATTTTAATGTTTCTACTTGTGCAGCTGATTGTCTTGTTGCACTCTCACCACGCAAACGTCGTTTCTACTCAAAATTCATCAATTTTATTGTCGATAGTATCGGTTTAGTTAGTCTATAAATTGTCGGTCTTTCTAACTCCTAATAACCTAGCAGCTGACACCATTTCTCACTCATGTTACTCTTCGTTCCTATCAATTAAACCATGTCATCTTGAAAAATATGATGTTGAATCCTTCCACATGATTTACATTGCAATTGTTTTGTTGAGGTCGTAGTCCGTTGAGTCGAATAAAATAAGATTTCATATTAATAATACAGTGCCCATTCATCGTTGTTGTCTCATTCAACTTGAACAATAGGAAGAACTGTACGAAGTATGGAAAACTCCGTGTGATGTGTATAGTTGGAAATGATTCTGATCCACTTCACGTCATATCGTGAATAATAATGTGTAATTTAATGTATCGTATCAAATTTTCCTACACATCAATAATCTCACCTGTCAGCAGCACTTCAACCTGGTATGCATCATTGGAAACATCCCAAACTTCCAAAATATCATCTATGAAAGAAAAACATTTGAAAGATTACAACGGTCGGGTGAGTACTGCCGATTATTCTCAAATTACTACAAAACAGCAAGCTATCCCGTACAGCCCAGATTTTGGATGATTCTCTCACTAATATCAACCCACAGGCAAACCTGAAACACCTGAACGTGTGTTTGATTGCTGCATTCAAAAGTTTACCGCTTTTATCACCTCAATCCACAATACTAATCATGGCCTTCCACGGAACAGGCAGTAATCGTGATATTGACTGGAAATATATTTGCCGGCAAACATGCACGAATACCAGTGAAATTCAGACAGTACAAATTATGTATATATCCGATCATTAGAAATGTCACTCTATTGAATTCTCAGATATATCTAATGCCTTCACCTCGGAGATGTTTTCTATGTATGATGTGATGTTTGCATACATCAGTTGCATATTGCTACGCCTACTGAAATATCTACTCGCAGATGATCATCTCACTCCTCATGTGTACAGACACACAGAGACATATCATGTGTGCCTCCGATGAAAGAACAGCGTACTGTTGTAAGATGACGCAACAATCAAAAATGAATAACAAATCGTGTTCAAGTGATCCAGTAAAGATTAGAATGAGTTTAAATCCATATCAATTCTCAATGCTTACATTGCACTAGTTGGTTTGCGTAATATGCTTCCATGTATTCCATCAGTGCTGACTTGAAATCACCTAGAAGACAATTTAATTTATAACAAAAGATATTATTCCTAATAATACCATGGATAAAAGTATAAGGTGTTCAAGAAATGGATGAGGAGGTGAATCCTGTTGAGTGCAACGATAAGCATCAGTGAAATTCTTGATTGGCAAGATAAACATGACAACTGTTCAGTCGATTGTGACTCTGTGAGTATGCGTGAGTAGTGCTGTTCCTATCATATGTGTATTCACTTGCAGTGAGTGGATGTGACTGCGACCAAGTATTTGACATACAATAAATCTCAGTGCTTTATTGTGAGTGCATTTAATATAAATTAGAATGTACTCGTATTAAATGACCTACCTAGTGCATTCGAAGTAGAACGTTGGCTATCTAGAAAATAAAACAAATTGATGCACAATTCAGGATGGTATGTAGTAAAGACGTGATGACTAGTATAGCGAGTAGAAATGTGCATAGATGTGTAACAGAAACGCCTATTTAATGAGTAGAACAACAAGGTGATTTCAGGGAAATCTCTTGTTAGTCAACGATTTGCATGTGAGAAGCTATAAATGACATCGGAGACGAAATGTCGTATGGAAGGAATACCTACTGGAAGATTCACATGAGGCTAAAATAAAGAGAATCTCTGCTTGATCAGATCCCAGTGGATAATTGTCTGAACGGATCCGACAGAAACGAAGCTAGACCACGATACACACATCGACGTCTTTCCACTATCTCAGCTTACACCAAAACAGACTGATGTTCGGACGACGTGAAGGAGATTAGACCTGTCAAAAGTCATCTAGTTTCCTGCTGAAAGCAAGATTCTCAGATATAGCTGCTGAATTCAGCCAATACTAAAGTAAGGAAGTTGTACCAGTCTGAGAAGTTTATTGAAAGTGCCTACGGAGTCTAGTGCCAACAAACACATAATGGCAATCGTCTTAATACCTATATAATATAGTTATTTCGAACCCTCATGTTCCCTCCCTCGTCTGCCTTTGTGTGCTGCAGGCAATGTGGCAACTTCAATTGTTATGCAGAAACGTAAACAGTGAGTCAGTGAGCACGTTTATGGAGTCCATGCACTGTAGGCTAATACTATCGCTACTATAAGGCATGTTGTTTATAGTCATGCAATGCATACATTTCTATATGTCTGCTCAAAACTATGCCATGAATGATGTGTGTGTGAGTGGAAGGGGGTTTATAAATTGCAAGTACGTCAATGACATTTACTCACTAAATTATGGATACATTCCAACGAGATAAGTGTCTCTAATATCATCACGATTTCATATCAAAATCCTCCCTTGTCTTAACATTTTACATGAAGTTCACCTTCACGTCATTCGGAGGTGAAATCACATCGATGTCTATCGACTAACGGCAAACAGACTTCCTGAATTTGTCTCACATTCTGTATTTTAAATCAAATCAAACCAATTTCCAAAGAAATATATAGCCACAAAGTAACAATCCCATTCATCAACTTACCAGAACAGCCCAACAAACAGTACAGTAGCAATAAAGTGACGGAGACTAAGTGTGTCATCCTCACTCAGTGCACCAACCTAATGACTGAATAATGTTTGAGCATCCGCCGTATTTATACAGTATACTGTGTGGGTGTGTGAGCGGGAATGATGGTGCGATTTCAGTTGACCTGAAGTCCACTTCAGAGATTTGAATAAGCACTATGCATTTTCACGTCTCAAGCACACTCTGATGAGAGCACTTTTCTCAGGATTCAGTTGAAACATTTCAATTAGTTTTAAGAGTTTAGATAAAGTTTATTGTTTATCACTTTAAGTGTAGTTTCCAGGTATACGTGAGATTTTCTATAGGTAAGGCGATGAACACTGGTTTTTGCTCAGCAAAGAAATACTGTTTCTTCAAAGATTTTATTTTCTAGCTAACTGTACAATTGTACTATTATTACAGAAAGAAAAAGCATTAAGTGGATGCACTAGAAATTTCTCAGTCAACACTGCACATATGATGATGAGAATAAAGATAATGGAAACGACGTACTAAGGGCGAGGTAGAGTTAAAGGGGATGAATTACAAAACTCTCAGAGATTATTCAATATGTGAACTGGTGTAAAGATTTGGAAATTTCAGGTCAAGTAATGTTAAGAAAAATAAGCAGTAAGATAATGATAACAATAAAGATAGATAGTGAAGGTGAATTGAAGTAGAATGAATTGAGGTGGTAAAATAAACATATTTAAAAGAACATTACTATGACCAAGATGAATAAAAGGGGTTCGCCAAAACGTTTCTCAATACACAATTTAGGTTTTTATCCATGTATAGCTAGAGCTTCAGCTATGCATAAGTGAAGAAAATGTAAAGAAAATTTTCTTTTCGACTAAGTCATCAACCAGACTAGACACACGTGTGTTTACAGTAAATGGTTGAGAATGTTCCAGATTCCTTTCTGGTTGAGGGTTGAATAAACATGGGTACAAGTAGGGATTCGAATGCAATAATAACAAAATAGACAGAAAGTTCGGATAAGAAACGTAACTGGATAATCATCCCAATTGTGTGAAATTACTGTTTCCGATGACCATGTTAAAGACGAAGGTTGGACGCGTTTATATTGGATACAAAGCATGGGCTTAGAATTCAGTATCGCAAGTCCATTAGCTACGCCCAGATCCCTTTATCTCACTGCCTTTGATAGGTTTAATCAGATCTTGAATTTGAATCTGAACAACATTTCAAATGGAAGTGTGTTCATCCGATGTTCTGTAAGCGAGCTACATAATTGAATTCTACCGCATTCATTTGTTTGCTATGAGTTAAAGATTCACTAAGCGTAACTGTAAAAAGAAGATATTTGAAAGATTACACCAGTGGGGTGAGTGCTGCAGATCACTCTCGACCTAGTACGAAACAGCAGGCTATGCCATACACGGACACTCTGATGAGGGCAATTAAGTGAAGTGTTTTCTCAAGATTCAATTGAAACATCTCAGTTAGTTTTCAGGGTTCAAATAAATGTTATTGCTTATCGTTTTAAGTGTGGTTGCCATAGAAGATTCATTGGGGAAACAGAATTCAGGGTGTACCTGCGATTTTACACACACATAAAGTGATGAGTCTACGAATAGGAAGGAGTGAAACTGTGAACAGTGAAGTCACACAAAATCCGATTGATACCGAAGATTCAGCAGGACATCTTGAATTGCTTCAAGATAATAGAGATAAAAAACTTATCTCAACACAGCCATTGGCTTTAATTCAATCTCGATTTTCCCGCTGGTTGATTTCACCGAGGTGTTTCGCCTGTGTTGACATGTCGGCTGCTAGCACTGGCACGTCGACAATATCTGAGGATTCAGTTGAATTAGTTTGATAAATGTTGTCTAGCAGTGGAATCCACCAGTAGGATGCTCATTCCATTTGATTTGGAACTCGTCAGCCAGGTGATGTATCTGCACTACCCAGTGAGTGAGTGATGGTGTTCTCAATGTGACTCGAAACGAGTGCACGTCGTTTCAACTGCAATGCGTGATCCAATCGCAGAAGTGTCCGTACTAGTAGCTGTTGCTTAAGCAGAGGCTGAATAATCCGGTCCAATCAGTCAAGCAGAAAATCGATATTGAATTGGAAATAAAAACATGTCGATAGTCGTTGCAGACGAGGAGGCTGTGGTTATCCGAGCGGTCTTGTGGTACAAGTTGTGTTTGGCGTTTGAAACTATGGCTGGTAGACTAGAGTCTTGGTGAGCCAGATATACCTGTAATGACCAAAGAGTAGTGATATTCTCAACGATATCACAATCCAGCATCTACCGTTTCTTCTAGCAGAAAGCGTTTAGAAGTTTGAAATGATATCTCCTGGGTTCAAGGCAGTAGAAATTATAGGAAAACATGCACACCTTCAATTCAGCACTTACCACGATCCACCAAATAACATGATGTTGATCCTCAGATTTCATCTCAGCATGCACATGAGGAGACGACGTGTCAACACAGACCAAACACTTCGGTTCAACACAATCTGTCAGTGGGAAAATATTTAATTAACTTAAGAAATTGTGGGTGGTAGTTTTGTTGACTGTCCAACGTTCAGAAGAATAATTCCGACCTCGAAAAATTCTGTAACAAAGAAAATATTGCAGCAGTAATTTCTTCTGTTCAAATAAATCATTGTGCCAGCGTTTACACTCTTCCAATCTCATATCTAGTTTGGCCGGAATGAAGCAACATAAAAGTCTCATAAACCATAAATTAATTCCACCGATTTTGATCTATTTCTTCATTTTTCCAAGATTAGGTTCAAACTGATAAAGACGTGAAGTTGATTTATTTAAGACTTAAACGCGTAGGCTACAGAATGAAGCAAATGGCTTCATAATTATCTGTTCCCTGGATGTCTCAGAGTGTTTTACTTTTTGAAGGCAGCTGGCGATTCATTTTATTCTCTCTGTCTTTCCTTGATTATTATGTCTACTGATAAGATGAAATCCAGTTACGGGGAGCGTACTGACTAAGCGTCTGGTAAATATTTAATTCATCCCAAAGGTAAATAAATTTCATTAGAGATTCAATATGCATGAAATGATATTGCATAACGCCTGAAATACTCACTTTCGTCTTTAACGTTTTAAAAACCTGTGTAGTGAGGATCAAATGTCTTATTTATTTAAAGTAACAAGTAGAAGTGTTAGCCTAAGAGAATTCGTGTTTTCTTGGAAAAAGTCGTAACTCACAGTTTTAAATAAATTCCATGAAAATCGCTTGCAAATTGACATTTGTTTTGTCATTCAGTGAATAGCGGCCTCCATTAAAACCCGTCAGATGGATGCACAGACCAAAGCATTATCTAACCGGCTAAGCAAGCCATATCTCCTACACGTTGAATACATTTGTTTATCGACGAAGGCCTTCACTACTCTTGATATGTCGACTATCAGAAGGACGCTTTGGCGATGCCTGAAGAACACATTGATATCATCTGGTTAGTGATAGCAAGTAGTGGGATTGTTGATGCTTATTTTTCGTTTTTAGACCTCACAAGTTCCATCTGACAGAATTCCTCGTAAGCGATGGTCTTCTCTCGAATATTTATAAAAAATGAAACTGCAGTTCAAATGACACCAATTACATGGAAGTATTGACCCTGGGAAAATGAATCTTCTTTCTCGAGACAAGCATAACGAAGATCAAAATCCTGAGTAAATACTCGTCGTTGGTGAGACTATCTGATAGACTGTTATTTACGATAGGAAAGATGGATTAGGCTGAAAGAAAAACCAGAACCATATCAGAGAAGGTAGAGAATCCTCCGATTACCCTATACACACTTTACACAAGGTTATTTCACATCCTAAAAATAAACGATTGATAAGAAGACTGACAAAAAGAAATGTGTAGCACATATGGGTGACAGAGAAAGTGATAGAAAGGAACCATGTTTATTTCCATGTCTTATATGGTCTGCATTCACGTGTTCAAAATTTTATAATAAGTTGAAAACTATTATCCCTATTCAATCGCCCTTCTTTACTACGCTGAAATAAGTAATAATAACTGTAACTGTTTGAATTCATGTAATAAAATGAGATTATACGGCGCTTGAGGATGAACTAACTGAGCAGATATCGCAGGTTAGCTTCATGATGGTTTATTTCGAATGGGTTATTACACAGTTAACGAGTTATATAAATTAATGGTAACTTCGTGATACAGTTACAGTTTGCTGCTACCAATTATCAATATAATCAACAGGATTTTTCATTGCTGGAGTCATGCCTTCTGAGAGAAGGTGTGCACTGGTTGTAGAATAGTTTTTGGATGAAGATGACAGTTTTCTGAAACACGCGACGGACACAAAATGGTTAGTAGTGAAACAAGTAGACATTATGGACTGGTGAGATGACGAGAGGTCGAGTAGCACATTGTATTTCATATTCTGCTCCAAAATTATGTACGTTTTGCAATGAATTGTTTTAAACAGAAGTAAGGAATGTTTCTATTTTTAAAGTCTCACAAAATACTGAGTTATCACAATGTTCCAGGCTCCATGTCTGAATAAATAAATGGCTTCAGTGAAAAATACCTAGAAAAAGAATACCAGCGAGTATAATTTTTGTGTAATGAATGTACGTCACAAATGATGAATTCAGTGCTCACATGATTAAACTTATAATGGGTTTCTATCGCGTAGAATAATTAAACTTCATATACGTGTGTATAAAAGCTTACGAATTGTAGATATGGGACGGTTAAAATTGAGAAATAAATATGCATTAATAATGCACTGGTGTTGGTTAGACTATCCAGGATAGCCTTGAACTAGCGGACTATTAGAAATATGTATGTTATTCCATTGGATTTAAGGTGAAGAATAGAGCTTGAGAAGCACTTCTACATTTCATGCTGTTATCTGCAACTTTTGTTAGATGAGTACACTACAGCTCAAGCTTTCGTCCTCTCCTCAAAAAATCTCTTCACCAGCACTATCCGATGCATACCTATCTCGTTATCAATTGATTGTATCTTCACCGTACGTCAAATTCGCCTCCATTATCTTCACCACACACTT